CCCCCCCCCCCCCCCCCCCCCCCCCCCCCCCCCCCCCCCCCCCCCCCCCCCCGGCGATACATTAGAAGACCCCCTATAATAGAGGATCCTCCTCAATTAGAAGACCGCCCTTGAACTCCTAATGCAAAAAACACATTAGAAGACGCCCTCTTTTTTATCGATTCTTCGGTCTGAAAATGTGATGATCCTTGTGTTGAATAACATACATTTTTTTTCTTCGCCTTTTACTCAGCTGTTTGAATGAACTCACAGCTGATAGACGAAAAGAAATGACAGTGTGCACGTGCGTTCCTTAAGTGTTGTGAGATGAGATGATAAGATGTGATGTGAGTGGATATCATATGATCCAAGAAGAATTTTTCCTATATCTCTTCACTATGCTCACTCCTATCAACATCTCGCTCATAAAAAAAATAATCACTTCTAAAGCGATAAGAGAATGTGTTTTTACTTGTCGTTATCTTAAGATAATGTTGCTAAATGACTTTTTCTGTAAATGGAATATGGAACTCATAGTTTGATTGGAAATGGGTAAAAAAATGAATAAAAACAATCAGAATCAGCTAAAAATAACAGTACATATTCCGCTGACATTAAATCAAGCTATTTCAACCGACAGAACAGGGCTTTTTTTAGAGGCACAATAGAAGACACCTCAAAAAGTTATGTGCGTTAAGCCGTGATAGAAGACCTGGTCTCATGTGTCACCCCCCCTTAGTATAATTGTATAAAAAATTTTGTACAAAGACTTGATAAAACTTAGTCAAAATTTGCCTTTGAACAATTGTATAACAATAAAAATATTTATTTGTTCTTCTTCAATAATCATTTTCCTATTTCAAATATGACCTAGACGATCCGACTAACAACTTATTATCGAACAAAATTGGACAACATCTGTTTCAGTTCTCATACGAAGTGGAAATGAAATAAACTATCGAATAATAAGTGAGCAAACGTCTTTAGAATAATGAAAATAATATTTTCTGTATCAGTTTTATCATATACAAATCCATCTTTCTTATTTATAATCATCGAGTTTCTATTCTAGAAGTTTTACCGCTTATTTCATTGCTTTTCTCAGTAGTGCACAACACAATTATCCTCTACTACAGTTGTATAACACCCTCATTTACAATTAGAAGTAGTGAATTGTCATAAAATTAATTATCTTCTACTGACATTTAGAGTTGCGATTCTACAGCAAGTTAAGCATGATAACTACTGTAATTGCGATTTACTTTTAATTGTAGATAAAGACAGAATATAAACATATTGATAGTTTATACTCGTTATTCAGACAACAATCATCATTTCTTGTTTATAGAATAAATCAGATAAAGCATCATACTGAATGCATCAGATAGAAATGAATTTTACTTCAAGTTCATATAGCTAATTCTATTATTGTCGTTTCTCAATATCAAATTAATGTTCATGATTACTTCTCATAGTGAACAATG